ATCAGAGCGTTCGTAGTTCATGGGACTACAGGAAAATGAGGGGATTGTGCTCGCCAACATCATCGCAATCTTGTGCCTACGTATTATCATTGATAAATGGGAAATCAGAGCATCCGTAGTTCGGCTAACTACGGTAAAAGGTTTGGTAAGCGAACAAGTGTTTAGGTCGCATTCTAACTGCTAAACGTTGGCTTGTCTGCTCACTAGGGGAGGCTGAAGCACGAGTTTGTTATGCGTGGAAGAATGGACTAAACAATGTTCTTTGGGAAAGTATTTAGGTTGGAGATCGCACGAGGGCGAGGAATTAGGTTTATTGTATTGGATGTTTTAGTTAGAGGATAGAGAATGGATTTTGAATAGGTTTATGGTTTCGATCGCACGGGGGCGAGAAAGAGGAGTTTGGTTATGTAATTTGATGGAGTATGACGACTATTCGATAAACGAGACGTCGGCCTCGCAATCAATTAATCGGGGCATTATTGGAATGCTAGATTCCAACGACACCTTTTTCATACGAATAATTATGAAATTGTATTTGAATGGACAATGGCGATATTTGTCCAAATAATTAGGGCACGTGTTTTATAGACGAACGGTCGAGCAACCCACAACCTAAAGCGTACACCCCAAGAGTGGTTACTCAAGAATTCAAGGAGTGCGAGACTCCAAAAACTCAGTTCTTTCGTAATTTAATTAAGAAGATAATTTGAATTTTGATGTATGGTTTAGAAACATACTAGGGTTTAGACTTGATCGCACGAAGGTGAGGAATGAGGTTAGACGGGTTGAAAATTTGGGAGGAATGACGACTGTTCGATAAGCGAGACGTCGAACTCATAACCAATTAATCGGGGTATCGTTGGAATGCTAGATCCCAATGATACCTTTTTTGTTTCATTAATTATAAAAATATGTTTGTTGGATAGTGAAAGTACTTGTCCAAATAATTATGGGAAATATTTTAGGAACGAAAGTTCGAATGATATACTATTCAAGGTGTACACCTCGATAGTAATCATTCTCGAATTCAAAGAATGCACGACTCCAAGAACTCGATCCTTTCGCGAATTAATTAAGAAAATAATTTGAACATTTTAGCGTAGGGGTTAAACTAGGATAGGCGTATGACTAGGGTTAGGGTTTGCCTACTTTGAAAGGTGTAATAATATTGAGGTGTTTTAACGATGAAAGACAAAACAACCACAACTCAAGGTGTGCACCTCGAGAGCGGCCGCTTAAGGATTCAAGGAGTGCTAGACTCCAAAAATCCACCACTTCCATATAATTTCAAAAAAAAGAAATTTTACTATTTTAATTTAAACATAAATAAAATGTTTTGAATTTAATAGAAAAATAAATAAATATGATAAAATTCTTAAATCTAAATCAAATTGTAAATTAATTGTCATAATTTATAAGTAAAAATCTAAAATAAGACTTATAATATTACTAAACATTAATAATATTTTAAACTATATTTAATTAGTTTCTAAGATAGGGCCTTATTAAGTTTTAATTAAACTAATAACGTTATAGTCCTAACGAATTTACTCACTCGTGACAGTCTAAAACTCATACTGTTTGCATGGTTTATTGGAACAAAAACACTACGCCTAGTACTATGGGGAAGAGGAAACATCAATAATGAGTGTTGCCGGTTGGGGATTTCCGAGATTCGTTGGAAACTCAAGTTAAAACCAAAAGGTTAAACTCTATCCCTCTCTTATCTCACTTACCTCACAAACCAATTTCTCCTTTTTATCTTCAAACGAAAAAAACGAATCTCCCCTGAAATCTCTCTATTTTCGTCCCTCTTCTTCTACCACACGCCGACTTCTCTTCATACCTTTCGCCTCTCGATTCCTCTTTGTACCTCTCTCTCGATTCACCACTAAACTCCCTTTTACCCTCAAATCAAAACACAAATTTCTAACCCCAACTCAATCCCTAATAAACGAACTTATAATCAAAGTTCAAAGCAAAAAAATCATGAAATACATATTCAGACGGATAAATTATGGTGCTTAAACGACTACGAGTGAAAATCAAATGCGAAGGGAACTTACCAACTTGGAACTATCCTGGCGGCGCGTCTGCGAGGTAGGTATTTAACGCCTTACTTTTTCCGCTTTTCTTCTTCTCGGTCCGTGTTCTGCGTGATGTGGTTAAGTTCAAGCTGGCTAGAGCTTCAGTGTGAAGCTCTATCAACTTTTTAGGAAGAACTTTTGAGTGAGTTGGGTATTCAATTTCGCAAAGCTTCGCTAGGGTTTTTCTCTCTGTTTTTGCCAATGGTTGGGAGTGTATTTATAAGAGATTTTAGGGTTTTTTGATACGTGTGAAAATTTGAAATTTGCTAAAGGAAATGTTTGGTATTGTGTGAGGTGAGGTGTATTTTGGTAGTACAATTCTGTTAGAGGTTTATACCATGATTTCTGCTTTTCTGGGACTTGATAGTGACCTTTTCTTTGTCTGTAGTGAGGAAGAAAAATATCTAGTTTTACCCTGGTTTTTTACTGTATGAAAATGTTTCTTTTACTGCTTATCAATTTGTTGACATGGAAGTCTTTATTTGACTTACAAAATTTTGTTCTTGTTGCCATATTCTGTTATAACTGTCATGCTCTTTCTTCTTCATATGTTGCTAATGTTGAGTAGTCACTGCAGGTTGTAACACTTACTGGTCCTTAGTGTTTGGCAAGGTAAAAACGGTGAAGAGGATCAAGGAGCTTTATCGGTAGCTCTTAATGTTGATTTGAAGAGTGTCAGAACAGTGGCGGAAAGTTTGTTAGGTGGTTGACAAAGTTGCGGATGGCTGGTGTTGCCCATAAGGAGAAATGGTACGTAAACTTGATGTGTAGTGCTCTGGTGTATAAATCATTGATCTTGAACTAATCCTTTACATTTCTTTTTATTTTGAGTATACTTGTTCATCATTCTCGGTTTACTCTTGTAGGTCATGCTATAACAGTAAAGACAACAGGGGAATGAAGGTAATTGAAGAACGAAAAGTGGTGATGACGACCTTGGAGTGAGACCCTGGCGAGACTGAGATTCACTCTTTTAGGTACAGACTTTGTGATGGAAGTATGTAGTCATTTTGATCCTCTTAATCATATACCTTATAATTTTCACATTTTGGGAATTTGAATCTTGTGAATTAAGTTGAACTTTGGTGTGTTAAAATGACTGTGCCAATTGTGTGTTTTATGCAGGACGTTGATATGATGGTGGTGTGGGAGAATCTTTAAAGAATTACGGGATGGAAATAAGCTGGCATTTTGCGGCACATCAGGTAGTGTACTTCTGCTGCTATTCTGCTCTTTCAAACTTCTCTTATGACAAATCTTTACACTGTGAAATCTGCTAATCTTTTTGTGTTTTGCACTAATTTTTTCATGTACATTCTTCAATATGGTATGACTGAACTGAGTCCATGCAACGCTCCAGCAGGATTGGGCACCAACTTCCATTAACAAACCGATAGCGCCGTAGCTTTTATCACCTCCCGGGCTTTTGAAAAATCCAAGATCCTCCATTGTAATTTCAGTATTTGGGCTACAGAGGAAAGTATTCCTGAACCAAAGAGATTTCTATGCAGAAGGCGATTCAAAACCTTTCCTGAAAGGTGTTCCACCAAATGTGCTACTCGTTTCAAATTCTCCATCGTCTTTACTTTGATCCCCCGAATTCTGCTCTGATGCTTTTGCATGAGTAACAGAGACTGTAAGATTTTCATGCTCCTTTGCACGAACACAAGGAGAGCTAAACCTTGAGTGTTGATTCTCAGAAGATGGCTTTGAAGTAATGCTCTGCTTTGGAGCTATTTCCGAGCTCCTATTGTTCATGTTTCTGGGAGTTACAACACTAGAACCTAGAACTCTGTCTTTAAAACCAACTTCATCAGATGAATATAATGAAAGGTCGTTCCTATCATGTTCAGACAAAACACCAGAAGGTTGTTGCACAATCTCAACAGCAGCAGTGGCATCAATCTTCATTATAGAATTGACATCAAAACGTTGCTGCTTAACCTTACCAGGAGAATTACTGTCAAGAGCATCTCTTTGGGACATATTTTCTTCCAAAACTGCAGATTTAATTATCTCCTCTACTTGTTTACCTTTATCAGCTTGCCCGTAATTTTCTTTATCATCGTCAAAAACAAGAACCTCAGAGTTTTTCTTTTGCAATGAAGATGAAGAGAAAATATCTGCTTCTAAACTAGAAAAGGCTTTGGACAAAGAGGATGTCATGTCAATCTCAAGTTTCTTGGTGAAGATCATTCTCTCAATTTTGGTGAAGCAATCATTTTGATACATCATGAAGGTAAATTGTCAATGACTGTGTTGCTCTAGACATATTTACTCAAATTTCTTTTGGTTGAAACTTGTTCTTATGAGAGATCAATTGCCGAAAAGATGCACTGCTGATATGATTATTGCTTTTGTTTACAATTCTGCAGGTATTTGCTTTCTGACTCTAACATCTCCTACAACAGATTTACTGCACTCAATCTGTACCTTACTAGGATTATTTTTCGGTTGATGTTGTACAACAGTCTCCGGTACTACATATTGGTTTATATTTTGCTTTATACTGATATCATTTACAGCAGCTTTAGGGCCCAGCAAGCGGTGGCGTGTCCTATGGTTTAGATTAATAGGTGACCTCCTCTTTTGTGCCAGTTCTGAATCTTTTAACTCGTCACTCTTGTCATCGGTTATTTGTATAATTGACTTTTGATCAATCAAATGTTGATTATTCACTTCATTTTTGCTTTCATCTACATGCTTGGATGCAGAGGGAGACTCTGAAACTGTTGTGTCCAAAGATGCAGCAGCAACATCACTTTGATTAGTTGAAAGTGGTGTCATATGAAAGTTTTGCTTAACATATTGTTTTGGTGTAATCATACTATAAGTATTAAGACAAGTATGCTCAACCCTGGTTAACTTCTCAGACATCTGTTGTACCACCTCTTTTGTGAAAATTGGAATATCTTACCCATCTATTATAGACGTGATTTTCTCATCTCTACAATCCAATGTAGTATTCCTTTGACATTTGTCGGCCTCAAAGTCAGAGACCAACGGGGAAAAATACTCCATGTCATTTTCTCTGTCAATAAGAGCTTTGTAATACTCATGTTCTGAAGCAATGCTACATGGAACAACTGAACAGAGAGGATCAATTAATGATAGATTAGAACATCTGACCACATCTTGAGAATGCAATACATCATCATCAGGTTTGTTGTGTGAAACTTCACAAGGCATACTTAGTTGAGAACTAATGGCGCACTTGGGATCATGTTTCAGCACACATGAGCTCTCATCTGGAACAATATCTGCAGATTCTGTAAGAAAGCTTGTCTCTCTGAGACACTTAGGATCATGTTTCAGCACAGGTAAGCGCTCATCCGGAACAATATCTGCAGATTTTGTAAGAAAGCTTGTCTGCCTGACAAGAAACTTCGGAATACTTTTGCATCGTTCTGGTTCAATTTTGCATCGTTCTGGTTCAATGAAGAAGAATCTTACATGCCCAGCCCCCTAACCAGCAGCTTCTAAATCTTTCTGGAGCTAGGTAAGCTGCCCGGTTCTCATTTTTCTCATCTTTGAAATTTTCAGAAGTCTGAAAAGGTGATGAGTTCAGACTATTTTGTGGGTTGATAGAAGTAAGATCAGCCATAGCCAAACCATCTGTGTTGTTAAGGGATAAATCATTGGTCTTATCGTCTTTGTATTCGTGAGATGTAGGAAGGTCATTCACAAAATGCTTTGGAGTAACATTGACTGAACTGGGTCCTTCTCACGGATGAATAGAAAAGAGGAAACGCACTATAATTACCGTATTTAACTGAAACTGGATCAACATGTGAGTGACTAAATGAAACCTGATTGGTGATGGATGTTGGAACTGAAGAATTCAATTTGGACTTTTGTTCCGCTGCCGAGATAAACTCGCCACAATAGCCATGTTGACGAGTAACAATATCAAGTCAGAATTTCGCTGCAACACCGGGGATAATAACTCGCCATCTTGTACACTAAATCATTCTAACCAACATTGCATGATATGATCTCTATTCATATATTTTTCCATATGACTTATGTAACTAGAATTAGTGTGATGCTTTGAAAATTAATTGTAAGGCTTGAACTAACCCTGTGTCTTCATGTTGTACACATTCAGCAGGGAAACTTGAAGGGTGGAGAATGTATAAGAGCTAGTCACGGTGGGAGCATGAAGATAATCATCAAAATGGTTGACAATTGTTTCGGTAATATAATTGGTACAGCTCTGTGGAGGTTTCGGTATGATGGCAGCTGGTAGTTGAAGACTGATGAAGAAGCTCTATGGAAACAGATTGAAGGTGCAAAAATGCGTATTTGAGTAGAAGAGTTTTGCAGAAAGAATGAAGGTGATCCCCCCACTCTGCGACGGGCTATAGTTTGTAGCCTAAGTTATTTCGTTGAATTCCAATCTGTCTGCATTTTTCTGTCGCTATGGTTTTGTTTCGTTAACTCAAAATGCTGTCGCGGGACAGAGTTGGTAACTGAATTATAAGTGAGACTTCATCGTGGTAACATTGATGCAATAGCCTTAGGAATTGTGATGTGATTTCTAGTTTGTAATGATTTCATTTGACTTGTAAAGAGTATTTTCAACTCTACGGTATCTTTAAGTAGCTTTGTGAGTATGAAATGTGTTATTCTCAATATTAAGATCAAAAACTTTATTGAGAGGTGTTCTAGTGAATGAGAATTCCTCTATGTTGCTTGTTTGATAAACCGACTTTCCATACTGTTGACATTTTGCTTGCAACTTTCACCGTTAATATCATAATATTGCCATTATAGTCTTCCTTTTTTGGTAGAATTATGTGATTCCATGCCAATACTTTCTACTTAATCTGGAACAATTATGAATTAATTTATATGTTTTGACAATGATCCTTACTTGGCCACAATTACTTTTAGCACTTCTGGCTGCAAACCAAAATATCTCGAAGCCAAATATGTCACTGCCAATCCTAAGTTGCTCTTAGACTTCATCAGAATTGTAATAAAATTTGGTATGGTTTGAAAGGTGTACTACAATCATGGCCTTAAAGCGCGAATTGAAAGACATTATCCACAATTCGAAATCGCTTCAGGACTAATTATATTTAATCATGACTTGAAATTTGCAAACTAAATTTAAGTTTGTCACAAACTGACTTAGAATCCAAACATAGCTTGACGCTTGCAATTTATTCGAACAAAGCTTGTGGCCAAATCGACTGTGTCTAAAAGCATCATGTGAAGTATCCTTGAATCAATTTGTAGTGATGCTTAAATAACTGTTAGAGAATCTTATAGTCAAGTGGAAATTGGGTTTAAATTTCTTGAAATCCAATCAGTATGCTGCGAAATGTATCCAATCATGCATTTGATGCTGTTGACCATATCATATATGTCTGATCGTGATAACGAGGACACATATGAGTTTGGGTATAAGGGGCTGGAGGCGCGCTCTTCCCACAAGAATTCAACAAAAAAATGCTAGGGATTACAACCACAATGTGTACACACATGGTCTTTATGAACGAAGTCTCAGATAGTCATAGCCAGAAGTCGTGAAGCAGTAAGATATTCATTAAATACCGAAGTAGGAAAAATTTGGGGTATGACATAGGGGTAGAAGTCAAGCAGCAATTAGAGAATCTTCTGAAAGAGTATGTGGATGTATTTGCATGGTCATACCAAGACATGCCGGGTTTAGACACTAACATAGTGGTTTACAAGTTACCGCTTCGACCAGAATGCCCACCAGTTAAACAAAAGCTCCTAAGAACAAGACCTGACATGGCTCTTAAAATTCGAGATGAGGTGAAGAAACAGATTGATGCAGGATTCCTGGCAGTATCCAAATATCCCGAATGGGTGGCTAATATTGTACCTGTATCGAAAAAAGATGGAAAAGTCAGAATGTGTGTGGATTATAGGGACTTAAACAAGGCCAGTCCGAAGGATGATTTCCCTTTGTCGCATATTGATACATTGGTGGATAATACGGCTCGTTTTGCAATTTTCTCATTTATGGATGGTTTCTCCGGTTACAATCAGATCAAGATGGATCCTAATGACATGGAAAAAACTACTTTCATTACTCCGTAGGGGACTTACTGTTACAAAGTTATGCCTTTCGGTCTGAAGAATGCAGGTGCTACTTATCAAAGGGCCATGGTAGCTTTATTCCATGACATGATGCACAAGGAGATAGAGGTATATGTTGATGACATGATCGCCAAATCTCAAAGTGAGGAGGACCATTTGGAACATCTTTTGAAGTTATTTAAGAGACTCAGAAAGTATTAGTTGAGACTGAATCCAGCCAAGTGTACCTTTGGAGTAAGATCTGGAAAGTTACTCGGTTTCATTGTCAATCAGAGAGGGATTGAGGTAGATCCAGATAAAGTCCGAGCCATCCAAGATATGCCAGCTCCACAAACTAAGAATCAAGTCAGAAGTTTCCTTGGAAGGTTGAACTACATATCCAGGTTTATTTCTAACATGACTCATACTTGCGAGCCCATCTTTAAATTGTTACGCAAGGATCAGATGGTTTTTTGGAATTCAGATTGTCAGCAAGCTTTTGATAAGATCAAGGGTTACCTACAAGAACCTCCAATCTTAATACCTCTGGTTCCGGGAAGACCTCTCTTCATGTATTTGACAGTGCTCGAAAATTCAATGGGTTGTGTGTTAGGTCAGCAGGATGAGTCCGGACGAAAAGAACAATGTATCTATTATTTAAGTAAGAAGTTCACTGAATGTGAAAGCCGATACTCACTTCTGGAGAAAACTTGTTGTGCTTTAGCATGGGCTGCTAGACGTTTGAGGCAGTATATGATTTGTCATACCACTCTATTGATTTCCAAAATGGATTCGATAAAGTATATTTTTGAGAAGCCTGCTCAGACTGGAAGGCTCGCCCGTTGGCACATGTTACTATCGGAATACAACATCTAGTACGTAGCTCAGAAATCTATCAAGGGTAGTGTGTTGTTGGAATATCTTGCAGATTAACCAGTGGAAGATTATGAGTCTCTCAAATTTTATTTTCCAGACGAAGACATTATGTTGGTAAAAGATTGTGAAAAGCCAGGTGTTGCGGTGAAAATCGGGTATCAAGCTATTAAATTAACTTGAATCTTTATTCTTTTACAACCGATCTTTAATTTATTCAAAGGAAATGTCTAAAGAAAGAAAAACCCTTTTCGCGATGTAAAACAATGCTAAGAGATTCGGGGGTCGGGGTTGGTTATACCTAGGGAAGGTGTCAGCACCCTAAGTGAAGGTGAGAAAATACTTAGAATGGGGGTTGAATAAGTATGAAGATAAAAACTTAGAAATAAAAACTCAAGTATTTTTATCCTGGTTCGTTGAACTCAACTACTCCAGTCCACCCTTCCTAGAGTGATTTGCCTTTCTCAATCAAGGACTTAATCCACTATTTAATCAACTGATTACAATAGTAAGCACTAAGAACAACTGTTCAAAGTCTTCTCAAGAACTACTGATCCTAACTGGATCTTCTTAAGGTTTTCTTACAATCAAATGTAATAACAAATACAAGTGTTAAAATGCTTCTAATAAAGCTTTATCACAACTGTGATTTTTCACTTAAGATTAAGAATAAAGAAATTAATTCTAGAAAGAATATGTGAGTTTGTATGAGAGCTTTAATAATGATTTCTTTTCAAGTAATGTGTCCACTAAAGAAGATGGTTGGAGACTTGCTTTTATAGGCACAGTGATCCAAGAGTATTTCACGTTGAGAAGAGTATACCAAAAGGTCTGAGCCTTTTTATCTTCACATCAAGTGACCTTTCCTAGAAGAAGAAAGCACAGAGAAATCCTTTTTGTCTGTGTTCTTGTGTCTAGCATAAATAAGGAAAAAGTAGTTTGGATATTCCAACGGACATAATCTTTGAATTCTTCTTCATCAATTTTCAGCAAGAGTCATCAGAGTCTAATTGATCAGAGCCTTCTGATGTTGATCAGAGTTTTGCTGAATCAGAGTCTTTGCAGCAAGTGTGCTTTTAGCGTGTATAAGTTCAGAGCAGAGTTTTGAGTCAGATCCTCAGTACTGGCAGCGTTAGTACTTTCAGAGTCTTCTGAATTAACTATGCTTGTAAAACTCTTCATACAGAATTCTTCATTGGTTCAGATGCTTCTGACTTGCTTCAGATTCTTCTGGAGCTTCTGCTTCAGATCCTTCTGGAGGCTACGCTCAGGATCTTCTGATGGCAGCGTTCAGAATCTTCTAATGGGTGCATCTGACGCTTCAGAGCTTTGCATATTTCTTATGTTCAGATCTGATTTGCTTCTGGAGTGATATTTACTTTAATATCTGCAGCAAACTTTCTTAAGCAAATTTTAGAGTATATAATTCTTAATTACAAAATTTCATAATAGTTATCATCAAAACATAGAGATATTATTAAGAACCAATCTATGTTCTAACAATCTCCCCCTTTTTGATGATGACAAAAACATCAGAAATTTTGTTAAATTGAAAATAGAATAATTATAACTCCCCCTGAGATGATGAATCTCCCCCTGAATTAAATATAAATAAGGAATAGAAACTTCCCTTTTTGTCTTGAGTATTTTTCAGAGTTAGAGCTTGATTGTTCTTAA